TCTCAACCTCGCTCTCTAGCGAGCCTTTATCTTTTTTTTTTTTAATTTAACTTTTACTCTTTCTTTCTCTTTTTCTCTCTGATGTGTATCATGATTCTTGCAACAAAGGAATATCCTTACCCTATCGTATAATAATGCTAAAATTTGTAAAAAAAAATAATGTTTTCTTTCTTTATTGTACCAAACAAAAGAAAAGAAGTCACGGAAGCAAATAGCTAGCATATTTTGAGGGGATGCTTTCACTCTCCCAAAGTGAATAGTGAATCGAGGGGTGTACCTAATAATAATTGCTCATCGAAGAATAAACAAATAAAATTTAATACTTTCGTAGTTTATATAATACACGGCTATGTATTTATTGTAACTTTAACAATTGATAATTATAATTTTGTACTTCAATTTTAAAGTGTATCTCTCACTTCAGAGGAACGATTAAATGGTTTATGTGACACAAGCCATTTCTAGATCAATATTCGATATAAACATTTTATGCAGTTAAAAGAAGCTTTAAATGTGTCCTTTGCTTCTTTATGTCATGTCACGGACATCTCATTAAGTGTGATGGGGTTGAAATTTGGAGACATGATAAATGACATTTTATATTAAAAATGTATGAGCAAAATAAAAAAATTATATGACGCTGTTATTAAGCTTGTATTACTTAAACGAAACTGTTAATAAAGCATCAAATCACTTGATAAGAATAGAGAGAGAGAGAGAACATTTTAAATGAGTATAAAAAATTATAATAAGATCAATTTTTTTAAACATATAATAAAAAATTAAATATAACAAGTTTTTATTAAAATTACAAAATTTAATGTCTACAAGTTCACTAAGTTCATTAAATATTATTATTTTTAAAAAATTATATTATATATTAAATTTTATCTTATATAATATTATACATTTAAGGAAAAATTCTAATAAAATATTAAAAAAAATTCGAGAACTTTTCTTTTAAACTCATGTAATGTTAACATCATCTTACCATCGTCACACGGTTAAATGTTATTCTTGAAAATTAATAGCTATATTAGCACTGATGCGTTTGAGGTGATTCGAAATCAATATATTGACGAATTGATAAAGTTATAATATATTATACTAGTAAAATTTAATGTAATATGTAAAAACTAATTATTATATGAACACATTGGCTGTAATCACAATTAAAAATTTAAGATATATGTTAAAAAAAAATTACAAGAAAACCTTTGTTAAAGTTATTTTAATAATATATTAATTTTCAGGGTGTCTTGTACCTTGAAATATAAGATATTAAGGTTGTTATAAAATGAGAAATAATACTTTAGGATGTCGAAAATGCTAGAACTGAGACTACTCTTTACAAAGTGAAAGTGATAAATCACTTTTATCTTCAACTAAAGTAACACTCTTCTGCCTTTCCTTTTCTTACACTACTAACATATAAGTTGCATCATTAGGTTAAAATATTTAATACCACTTTTGCCTCATTTCAGTTTAGAAAAAACAACCAACAACAACTTCATTTTCTTATCCTCTGTTTTCCTTCTGTAAAATTCCATTTCAAAACACGTTTAAATAAAAAAACATTTTCGGAAGCATTTTGTTTAGTAAAAGCATTTTTCTCCCACTATGTCTAATTTTATTTAAACGTGACACTTTAATTTCTCTCACTAAAGTGAGTCAATAAAAAAACATGTGCCATCATTAGGGGACGATGTTAAATTTTATAAAAACAGAGACCATATTTTAAATTAAAATTAAGATCTAATAAAAATAAATTCGTTTTATACATTGGCCTGTTGACCACTTTCTGTGCAGGGAGAGAACTGGCTAACAATTATTTCTTTCCTAATTCTGTTTTTAGTCTTCCAAATATACATATGATAGGATCTGACCCGAAGTGAATTAGATGAGGACCTGTTATGGGCTTCATTATGGGCCTATGGGCCTACTCATAGATACAGTCAAAGTAACAACCCATATTAATCACACACACTAGCCGAATTGCATTTTTGGTATAGCAATTCTTCGTCACCATTTCTTTTCCAAAATAAAACCCAAGTCATGCTTTTCCACAAATATCTACAATATCTATTTATGTAAACTTATCTAAAAATTAACTATTTGTGTATAAATTTGAAGGCAAGGAGATTTTATTAAGTGCGACATTTTTTTCGGTAATCGATCACAAAAATATTTATATATCATATTCCTTAAAAATTAACTCTGGTGAAACAAAATGAGCCTAAACAATATACTTCTTTTTTTGGGGGTCAAAAGCAATATAGTTTTTTTTTTTTTTTTTAAATCAAGAAATGCAATATACTTTTTTGTCAGCTTGCTTTGTGTCCTGAGCTCGACTCGGAGTCTCGACTCAAACTCACTTAAAAATCTACTTCGTAAAATTTTATTAGTTATAAAAATATTTTTAAAATCATCATTAATCTATTTATATATATAATATTAAAAAAATCATCATTATTTTGTCATTTTTTCTCTTATTTTGGAAACTACATCATTCCTCTAATAGATTAACACACTTTAATGTGAGTGAACCTTTTAAAGTCAATATTTTATTTGCCTTTTATGATTCTTAACATTACGACAATTAATTTTGAATTTGTACTATGGATTTTAAGACTTCGGAAAATGAAATGAAAATTTTGGTTTCAAAGTTGATATTACGAGTATATACTCAAAACATTATTTGTAATATACTAAAATCTAAAATTGATAATATATTACTTAAACTGAGCTGTTAATAACCTTAACATTTGAATATAAAAATAAATATTATTTGAAAGTTTGTGTATTACTCACTACCACCAACAAATTTATTTATCTCTCAAGAGAAGGGAGGATAAATTTTAAATAAAAGAGAATAGTGCAATTTGAGCATCTCTTTTAAGAATGAAGTGTATTTTTTATAAAATTTCTTTGAGTTAATTAAAATACTAATTTAATAAAGTGTCATGTTATGTAATTACTAATTTCTGTATGCAATTAAATGGCTCAATAATTAAGGGGTTAAGTTCTTTTTACTAAAAGAATCCAGAGATTTAATTGTTGCGAAAAAAAAAAAAAGGTATCAAGAGACTAAAATTTGACGTCAATCTTAACAACGGGAATGGAAGTTTAATGAACTCTAAAAGTTATAATATTTGAATATATGTGTAGTTGCGTATAATAGTGGCACATGGAAATAAAAAAGAGAGTGAGAGTAAATACATTGATAATTAAACAATTGAAAAAGAGTGGCAAATATTTAACTCTTTTGCATATTTTAAATTTTATTCTTCTTTTCTCATCACTCTTCTCACCATGAATTTTCAATCTAAATCATTTAAATAAATATAAAAAGGGTATAATTCAAAAGAGTGTGAAATGAAACAAACTCATTTCTCATCCACGAAGGAGGACATAGGGAATCTAGCTTACTCCATTTCTTTCCACCACCACTCAACAACCTAAAAATATTCGTACTTTATTATGTTCTAAATTCAGATTGCAGTGTCCAAAATTGGTAACCACCAACTTACCAGCCTATATATAGGTCAACATTCTACTGATAGCAGTTTTATCTTTTCCTCTGTGGCCAAAATCAAATAGCATATGATCAATCATCATCATCATCATAAAAAAGTAGTTTGATTTCTACCGTTCATCCTTCAATAGCTTGTTTTATATGTAATCAATAGAAAGCCTTCATTAGCACACATCTTTAGTGTGTGTGTGGTACTCTTTTAAGTTTCTGACTTCTGTTTCCACAAATAAGTGAGGGCATTACGTATGTTGGAACCCATTACTACATATTTGTGTTAAGCATAGTGTGTCAATGGTTCAGTGATGTTTTGTTCATTTATGTAACAGGTTGAAGATGCAATTGTTGGGGTGGCCTGCACGGGTGAGAGTCTTGTGTGGCCACAAATTTTGACAGGGTTTCTTTCAAATGATTGTTGAAAACTTCACATTCTACAAAGTCTCTTGTGGTGATACATGGTCAACTGAGGTGTCAAATCCTTAATAATCTGATTCAGGTTTAATTCCTCACCCAATATAGATGATGTAAACCGACTTCTTTTGTCTTTTTAACTTGATGTTACGTTGTTATTTTGGATCTTTTTGCTGATTTGGACTCAAACGACAGAGATTTCGGAATCATTAGATTGAGATGTAAGCTCTTTAATTAAGCAAAATGAACGAATGAATTGATCCCCACTAGTGAATAGTGTACAATACATAACGTGGGAGCCACTTGTTCTTTTCATTTGGATATGCGGTGGGAAAGAAATTTTGTTCACATTGCTTGCTTACTTTTCATTTTTCTCCTTTTCAAAAGCTACTTTTCCAAGTAAACTATATTGTTTAGTGCGGTCTTGTTTTCGTGTTGTAGTGATAACCATTTTGACTACCAATAAGACTAGCGGGTGAATCTTCTTGAATTCACGACGCTGCTATCACCAAAAAGGTTACCCCAGAAGTTTTATATCCACACCAACACAAACAATTTATCATAAACACAAGATACTTGCTTTCCTCGCCTGCCATGGTATAATATTAATGTACGGAATTATGAGCACGTATTTGGATCATATCGCAGTTTCAAGGAAGAAAAAGATTTGTTCAAGTAACATTGAAATCCTTTCAACTATTTATGTACATAGCCATTTATGAATGCTTTCGAGGTCAAAGACAGAGATATTATCTTACTAAATGATCCAGAAAAAATAATATTAATAAACGATAAGCAAATTATATACATAAAAAAACTATATTTTGTTTAATATATTTTGTTGTATTGGTATCTTACTCTTTTTTTTTAAATTATTGTTTTTAACTATTGTATTGTATCTTATATTCACAGCTGATCGAGGAATATAAACCATAATATCCCGTTGTTGTAGATATATACCCATCTCAAGTAATATACAAGACTCAAACTAGTCACAAAATTTATTGAAACAAACGTGATGAAGATATACATATGCCAAATGTAATAACATTCACTAATACAATTGATATAGGAAAACGCCACACTTTGGTTACATACGTGTGCCGTATATGGGATAAGGGAAAAGACTTTACAAGTTACAACTTACAACCATGACAAGCAAAATTAAAGACCAAACCGCAATGGAAATGTAGCAACAACTAGCCTCCTAAATCCTTCTAAGGCATATGATTGCAATCTTCTACGTTCAATTATTTGTTGTGATCCTGCTGTTTAGAATCTGGGTTAAGAGGACTTCTTCCAATATTTGATAATCTAACTTCTCTGGCCTTTGGACTATGAGGACCTCTTGCACCAGACCGTGGACTCTGCTCAGTTGTGAACTCACTTAAACGAGAACTGAAAGAGAGACGTGGACTCAAGTGGCTTTTAGGTTCATTTCCTGGTGTTGGGGTGGAACTTGTGATCTTTGGACTACTAGTGTGCCTAAACTCGCCACGGCTTCTAGTTATAACTTCATCTAATATCTCACCATCTCCAACATGAGAAGCACCAGCTCCAAATTCTGATTGCTGTTACGAAAGCATGCACAAGTTATATGGAATATAATGAAGTGTAACAACAAAATATTATACATATTTAACAGTAACTCAAAAGTGGGTTATCATAAATTTAAGCCAAGCTTGTTGGACAAGAAATCTTACTGTTGCAAGGTTGAATGGTAAAGCAGTTTGTTCTTCATATGCTGCTGCATCCAAGTCTTGAAGGTGTACCCCTTTGAAAAATTTGGGGAGAAAGTACTGTCTTACGGGAACTAAGAGCATGATCATCATAGGAAACATGACCCCGGCAATAGGAACCCATGTTAGTCCAAAACATATAAGAAGATAAATGGTTTGGAAAATGGTGAAGGTTGCTATTGTCTTGAAAGGGACTGTTTCTACAAAAGTAGCATGGTAATCCTCAAGCACCCTGCACATAAAGAACAGATTAAATTTGTTGATCATTATAGGTGCGAAGTAGAAGATTTTAACATCAGAAGGATAAAAGCAATAGAATGTTTACTTGTATCTTCTGCTTGGTGCAGTGAAGAGTAATAAGATTCTTTCCCAAAACTGGTTTCCTGGCAAACTTTCAATGGCCATGAAGGCAAAGTAGCCCCAAAGGACTGAAGTTGGGATCTTCTTGAGGAAAGGCATGGCTGCAACGCATCCTCCAACCATGGTTGCTTGAAGCAAGTTACTAAGACGCTGTTCTTTTACCTCAACGGGCAAAAGGTCATCTATTTCTTTCTCAACATCAAATACAGTCTCATCTACTGGGGCATCCATGTTACCCATATTGGTAGCTGCTTGAATGGTTGATTCTTTTAATTCTCTTAGGCCTTGTGCCTAATCATAATATATATTTGACTTAATACCAATATGTAACATGTTGATTGTACAGAATCTTCTTTCAATAATAAGAATTATTGGTAAACAATGGTTAAGCTATGATATTTTCACTTAGGCAAAGCATTATATTTTACATGCTTGAAATGAAACTGGCTTACTCTAGCAGAGGGGTCCTGATAAATAAGAGGCGTCTGCATTTGATTGTAAGCTTCTTGCATATGGCCATATAACTGTGCTAAACTAGCATTCTTTCCAATACTTCTTCGTGCGGTTACCACCAATTTGTTACGAAGCAACTGTAATACCATTGCTCATTTTTAGCAAGACACGTTGATATATATGTAGTACTAACAATTAGAAATTGACAAAAAGACCGATGTTATCTCCTCTTCCTACACATTTGATTCAACTTACCTGATGTTTAAGAGTTGCTAGACTCTTTGTGTGCATTGGAGACTGTGGTATGACTCCATTTGATGGAGGAATTCCAATAAGGCCACACATTAAGGTCTTTCATCATGAAATATGAAATTTACCATTAGAAAAAGAATCAAGTACGAGTATAAAATAAACTGAAGTTCAATGGTATCTATATTCTGAAGCTATGAAGGGCATACCAAAAAGCCCAAAAGAAGCAAGTCATAATGGTAAGAAGTTGGCTTTCTCAAATTGAATTCTTTCTGCTGGGAAAGCTGGGAGGCAACACTATGGTCAAAGTAATAAAGCACAGCAATCATGGTTGCGGGGATAAATGCTCCGATTATGTAGACAACAGGAACATGGACCATATCCTGTTCAATCAGTACAAAATTTTCTTTTTACAAACCATTTTGTTAGTAAAAAATGGTCAATTAGATGAGAACTTGTAATTTACATGCCTTAATGACAGTCCAATTCTCATATGCACCCGGTGACCATGGATTTGGGCTAAACAGGCGCCTTGGGATACCATGTGGAACGCTGCCAGCTGGTATGTAGGACACACCTGTCCAAACTAGGACCATAAGTGGCACACCATAGTCAGCTATTAGGCTGCGTAGCCAACCTGTTATGAATTCATAGTATTAGAGATGTAATATAAAATCATTCGAGTGTCTTTACCTAAATTTGAGGTTGTTAGTTCATAACATGGTATTAAAACCTCTATAATTAAGTAGTTTAGATTTAATCCTTGTCACTGTCATTCTTCTAATAAAAATTGAATTACAGTCTAAAGGGCCATTGTGAGGGGACATGTTGAGACATAATATAAAACACTGGAAACAAATGACTACCTGACTGAAAACCAGGAATTGTTTGGTTTCAGGACATTTTTTCTGTCTTTAATTTTGGTTTTTACTTTTAATTATAGAACTGACACGTTACTTTCATTATGTTTGTTGTTTTCAAATATTTATACCAACACAGAAAATAACATTTTTCTATTTCCAGTATTTATTATACAAATTTATCGGAAGAGAGAATGAAAATAAGATGTCAGTTTTGTAATTAAAAGTAAAAATATAAAATCAGAAAATATTTTTTGAAACAAAACAACCCAAGTTTTCATTATAATATTAGGCATACTGTATGGAAAAGGAAACCTTTATGTCCTTTTCTGATCAGAAGGCAAACACTTACCAGTACCATAACGCCATGACCTAGCCTTCCTGCTTCTTAATGCAGTGAGGAGAAGGCCAAACGAAAGGACTAAAGCAAACATCCCATTAGCAAACCTCCAAGAAGGTGTAAACTCAATTGATTTCGGATTTTCTCTCTCTGGTATGCCAAACTCATCAACAAGTCCCTGAACAATGATGCCGGTAGGATGTTACATAAATTTGGCCAAAGTGAATCGTGAATTCAGGCACTAATATATCAAGTCAATCCATAGTATTAAGTAACAACAATAAATCATTGCTGATAGAATGAAATGACATGGTAAATTTTGATAACAATTCTTACCTTGATAGCTTGCTGCATGAAGAGCATTGCAATAAGAAGGCCAAACAACTCTCCTGCAATACGGGTAAACCTGTTGATTATGGAGCAAGCCCCTAAGATGGAAAATAAGAATAGCAACAGTGCAGTCCACACACATACCCTGCAAAATCAAGTTATAAAAGAAACATGATAATGTTAAGTCACATCCTGAAGAGAATTGTATCAAGGTCTCCACATGAAAATATGGAGAAAATAAATGAATAAATAATTCACCATCCACTCCATGCCAGAAACAAATTCCGGCCCAACTCTGGTCTCTCTTTTGCAAAATTGAACATGAATGTGTACATAATCACGGTAGGTTCTGCCACTCCTAAAATCAGTAAAGGTTGACCACCAAGGATTGAGTGTATAATGCCACATATGGATGTGGATACCAGGGTTTGAACAGCAGTTAGAACACCATCTGCAAATGCAAAACAGCATGCACACGTTATCAAGCTGTGTGAATATTCTCTAGTTATAACTACTGTCCTATTTCCTTTTCATTTTGGCAAAGAAAGCATATTCCAAAAGAAAAAGGGTCACGATTGAGAAAGAGAATACTAGTGTAACACTAGGAGGACTATATCTTTTAGAACTTTTTTATTGCAGTTAGAATATTCAGTACCAGTATTTCTCTCTAGTTGTTCCCCAAATGAAATGACAGGTATCGCGGAGGCAAAAAATATGTATGTTGTGGGGGCCCAAATCCTGCAAAGGGAAGCAAAAATTGTGAGTTATATATATATATATATATGTCTGTTAAATGCCATTGGTTGAAGCATTGAAACATGGATAATCTCTGAAGTACCAAAACCACTAATGGCAAAATTATTTCAGCATATATAGTATACCTTAAGCCTGCTCTGATTCCACCCGTCCAATCTTGCTTGTAGCACATCAACCTTCCTCTCAGATCATTCTTGATTCCTTCAAACGGTACAAACGTTTCTTCCATATCTTTGCCCACCAAAAAGGGTCAAAGGGAATCAATATCGAAGTATCAACCTGTGTGAACCTGTTCGTATCTCTCTACAAAGTTACTTGGCTGCCATTGGGACTAACACTGCTAATCAGAAGCCAACAAAGTATAATTTACATGTTTTTCTTGGTTTCAGTTTGTTTTGGCAAGATATCTCAACAAGACTCAATCACAAACAAACTCAGGAAGAAGGGAAGAAAAATGTGGGAATAAACTAAACAAGAAGGTATCATGAATAGTGCAGCCTGGCTTCTAGAGACGAATGAGAGAGTGAGAGATTCAACGCTGTAAATATGAAAAGAAGCCAGCTGTAGCAAAAGAGCAACTTGTATACTTCTTGAGTCCTTCCTAATATTTATAAGCTTTAAAAGAGCAAGCAACGAGGAAAGAAATGAAGGTAGATTTGGTGTGGAAAGTATAAAAATTTTGTTGTAAAATGTAAATACAGATCATTCCAATCTTTCCAGGCTCATCATCAATAGTCCTTCCATGCTTTTGTGCAAAAAGTCAGCATCACCAATAATCCAGACCCACTGAATAATGTGTGGGATCTTTCAATAGAAAATGCTGAGTTTACAAAAATAAATACAAATTGAATGCTTGAAACAAAGTAACTTATGCCATGTCGTCCTTAACTTATAAGATAATGTTTAAAAGATGTTGTGGTGAAATGAGAGCCGTTTATTTGCTTTAGAAATATGTATCTTAACTTTCAACAGGAAAACAAGTGAAAGCTATATGTATATAGTAGGAATAGATGCGAAATCATCCCAAATGCCTCATTGAGTATATGACAACCTACTTAGTTGACCTTTTTTTTTTAATCTAATTTTCGATCCACCTCCTTTGATCAATGTGGCTGTGTTTATGACTCCTTGCTTTTTGTGAAGAATGCACTATGCTGGGCACCATAACATCACGAGAATGCTAGTACCCCAATTTCTTATACTTTTTAATATATTACTTGTTACTGAATAAAATTTAGGTGAGTCTTGCTAAATATTATTTTTTGTCCTGTTTTGGGGAATTTATCGTAGTTTTTTTTTTATATAAGATCCCTTTAAGTTGTTTCTTGTATTAATTAACTTTTTAATAAACATGCCATTGTGGAGACAAAGTAAATTAATTAAGCGAAAAGATAATAAGATAATGGGTTCTAATAATTTTAAAAGTTGTTTTGAAAAAGTTATCTAAATTGTTGATAAATTTAATGTCATCAATAAAAATTATATTTTTTTAATTATTGTAAAATAGTTAAAGAGGTCTTATATTTAGAACCACAAGTAGTAGTGATATAGTTACTGTTCTTTATTTAATAAGTTACCGTTCTCCCCTTTTTAAAAAAATTCAGACTTCCAAAATATACTCTTTTTATTTTTCTTTATAAGACAATGTTAAAAAATTTATGGTTTTCATAGTTGTTCTTGTTCACCGTATATATACACAAAAGAATTTAATTACTTTAAATTGACCCAAGTAACATGAAAGTAGAGTTTGACTTTAAATTATAGTATATTTAAAATGTTTTATACTCAATGCATGAACTAATTCTAACATTTTTTTTTTTAACATGCGTGTTTTCGTGAGAATTATCTTATAAACAGAATTAGAAAAGCTTGTATTTATTTATTTTTAATAGAATTGAAAGTATATTTATATAAATGGTGATATTCTTATAAGTTATAAGGATTGATATAGTAGTTAAGAGTTTTGAATAATTTACATTAGTCTTAAGTTTAAACTTCATTTTCACAACATGAGACACTGTTAATATTTGTCATTTTAGTTTTTATAATTAATTTTCTCTCCTTTTGTAAATTTTAACTCAACTGTTGAACATTGAGCATGATTGGTCTTGATAATCGCTATAATCTGATTTTTAAATTGAACAAAAGCAGCAATGTATTTAACTATATATCAAACTAGTATTCAAAAAATTGTTCTAAACACGACATTCGAAATTTTAACAGATTATAAAAAAAATAAAGCCCCATAGTACATTTTGGCCATGTGCCTTTCAAATTTGACAACTCATGCATAAAGAGGTTTCTGCGACGTAACCTAAATAATACTGCTCCATAAAAACACATTTAACATTAAGCGATTTTGGGAAAATCCTTGACTTCAATCATACAATTTGCTCAAAATTAAAGAAAATTTCTAAGAAATCGAATAAGGAAAAGGGACAAAAATACAAAGGGTCAGCTGCATTGCATGCACTTATAATTTTAGGAAATAAGTCAACGGGGGAATACAAGGTCGAGCATTATTTGTAGGTAAAAATATTAAAAATATAAGAGGTTCAGTTAGAGGTTTATTTTATGTACTATAATGTAGTTTTTTTAAAAAATTACAAAAATATAATATTAAAAAATTTCTAAAGATAATTTCTAATGTAAATATAGATACAACAAAGAAAAGTTATAAAGTTTCAAGAATTATGAAACTCATCAACGATAATTTTTTAAAAAATAACAAAAACTATTTAAAGTACCAAAAAATTGTCATTAATTTTAATTTTTTTATATTTTTTTGCAATTTTTCTTAAAATACCATAATTTAGTATTTTTTTTTTTATATAAAAAAAGCCTCAATCATAGTATGAAAATAAAATTAATATCAAAATGGAATGCCTTGCATACTTTGAATCTTTAAACAAAATCGACGTAACACGACTGAGCCAAGAAAGCAAAAAAAAATGGAGATCATATAAAATTGTGTAGTCTTTAATGATACGGAGTATAATTATACAATATTGAGTCACATATTTAATGTTTAGAATGTCGCATCATGCTAAAGTATTGAACCAAACCACTATTTAGACGTGTAGTAGCATTAATAAACTAGTAAATGCTAATTAGTATTTTAAAATAGTTATATAAAAATTATATTTATACATTTTTATAACAATTTTAATAGATTTTTAACGTAAAATAAAACATATTTATTATTATCATTTAGTTAATTAATAACATCCCAATTGATTTAGCTAGGTAACGAAAGAGTTATGCACACAAGCATGAACTATTACTCCGTGGATTCTCTATAAGCAACTTTCTAAAGAGAGATTCGTTAAACAATTTGCAACTTGCCCATATAAAATCAATTATTCTGTTTTTGTTCCCTAAACCCTGTGGCTTTTCAATTATACAAATTGCATGCTTTGGGCATTGGGATCTCAATACACATTTATTATTCAAATTAACAAAGATGGATAGTTCTATAATGGTCCAAATAATTTTGTGACCATGAACGGACCTTTTTTTTACTAAAATTTTTATGCTTATGTAATTTTAAAGTTATTTGTTGTTAAAATCTGTTTGAAAAAGTTTTATTAGAAGTTTAAAAATACTCTATTTTAATAAATTTTATAGTTATTAAATAATTATTTAATTAAGTTGTGTAACTAAACTGACCTTATATCCTTTATAAATATTTATTTTCTCTTTAGTCTAGAGTACTAACATTAAAGTATAAATGGTACTTATAAAAAACAATAATAAAAATATCATAATAATAATAAAACATTTATTTAAATTTTGATAAACTCTTAGTAGAGATTTTATGTAGAAATTTACGGTTCTATTGTCTGGTTACACTTAAAAGCTTGTCACAGCTTCAGTTACGTTGAAGGAAAGTTTTCAATTCCTAACATCAAATCATCAACCATGATGTGGTGGTCAAGACAACCTAACATCCTCGTATTGGTTTGGACAATTGGCCCCATGTTTTGGCGAATATGACTGGGCGTGTCCTCTTTCAAGTGGTTCTGTATTTGAAGAACTGTCTTTAATTAATCACCTTCTGTTTAATCGCCTCTTGCTTTTCTCTATATATCTTTACAATGTTAGTTATAATAAGATCATCATGTTTTCAGATCTATAATTGAATAATTTATTATATTAATCTTCCTCAATTACAGGCCTAATGAGTATGAAATTAATATGTGTTGCAATAAATTATAAGAAGAAAGAAAGCTTATATAGAAGAGATTCTTTAACCACTCAGTACCAAGGTTATGTCCATTCAAAAATAATTCAAGTTATCACTTATTTTCTTTTTCTTTCAATCGTATTAATATCGAGTCCATTCATAAGTTTAAATAAAATTATCAGTATAAGATAAAATAAGTTTAGACAGAATGCATGCAATATTAAATAAGAATATACAAAACCTCCATTCGTATGTAGACATCAAAAGATGTTCATTTATGCCCTAATTTATAAGAAAGATTGAAACCTGTATCGCACTATCCAGTAACCTTAACACCATATATAAGCCATGTTAATTTATTGTTTCTTTGTTTAAAGCGTTGAGCATTATGGTTCAGAATCTATGAATTTTGTTATCAATGATTACAAGTTGAACTAACATTAGACATGCTGCAATAATAAACCTCTAGTAGACTATTCCAGAATAAATTTGTATAATTGTTTATTATGGTCAAGAGCATATATTTTCCTCCATAATTTTTGTATTTGTTAAATTAATATATTTCATACACTTTGAAGCTCATCTCAATGATTAAAGAAAATAAGTCGCATGCCATTATTGTGCACAGTCTCACACCTAAAAAAACAACTTGGGGAAGGTTCATATGAACACAAAACTTGCTCTTCAAAGTAGTTTTCCTCCATTATAATTTTTGCTAAACCTTGAAATGATTTTGTCGAGCACAAACCTTTATTATTAATAACTCATGATTGAAGATTTCAAAGGCAAAAATTAGGAAAAATAAATCAGCCAATAAAGGCGAATGGCACCCTATTTAATGTGAAGTTTACAACCATTGACAAAGTGGTAGGTCCATTCGATTAACTGTGTAATGGTTAATTCACAATTAATTGCTTACATCCTTACTTTTGATGTTTCTATTTGCTATATATTAGTAATTCTTTTCCCACTTTTTTTCTTTTCCACCTTTAAAAAAAAAAAAACATTTCTGTCATGGCAAAAACAAGTAAGCTAGTTATGTTAATATGGTGAGAGAATTGCCTTGTATATACACAATTATTTAAAAATTGAACTAGTAATTAATGAAAGTGTAAGTTTATAATTTATTGATTTTGTTATGGTTAAATTAGTGATGATATAATATAGAAAATTGATTTCTTCATATTCTTAAAATGGGATGTGGAATGAGTGGAAGAGAGGAGTAAAAAGAAGAGGAGGATGAATCTAAGAATATAGCTGTTCTTTAATAAATAAATAAATATATATATATATATATATATATATTATATGTCTAGTAAAATAGAACAATTCATACACAAGTTTTTATTTTCCTTAAAAAAATGTTTTTAATCAAATAAAAAATAAGAAGGTTCAAACTGAATATTTATTCCCAATCTGTACTGATTCATTGACTCTGCTAGCTCAACTTTACTTACTTTTGGGCCAAAAAGAATAAGAAAAGGTTTTTATCTCATCTTGTTATTGCGCCGTATTAAAAAAAGCAATTTTTATTAAACTTAATTAATTACTAAATTCTACTACAAATCATATTAGACCCTTAATTGATAACAATGAACAAGTGTGAAGCTACAAATATATACGTACACACGCGTTTATCCAAGTCTATTTTTATCGAAAACATTGATACCCAATTATCTCTCAATAGTCAAACACGTCAAGTTGAGCGTTTTACCAGTGGATACATTGGTGCCTGTACCCACACCATTGACAGCTTAAGGAAACTGAGTCATATGAGTGTAGAACAGTTCTAAATTCTTCTATTTTTCATATTTATATTTTTTAATTATTAAATATATTCTATAATTTCAAAATATTAAATACATACATACATACATATATATATATATATATATATATATATCCCCATAGACTTAACCTAAACAGTCAAATTCTTTCACTATTTAATATTCAGAGTATAATTCAAGCGTTCGTTGACTTTTGACCTCAAAAGTTAAAAACCAGAGTATCAATTTACGGATATTTCCCAGTGTGATGAGCTCTTAATTTGAATGACTTGAAGAATGTAATATAAATTGATGAATTAAGAACGAGAATCCTCTCATGTTGCCAAAGAACATGAAACATCATGTTATGAGTGAAAGAAAAAATTAATGGGCCCTGCATGTGTTTATCTCTCATGGCATGACATTAAGTGTTCCTTAATAACATGATACAATCCTAATCCATGAATAAAAGGATATTCGATTATGTGAACTTGTTTTACCTTTCCACGTGTTTGATTATCAGTGATTAGATAGGCTAACAATTTCCAAACCAAAATTCAGTCTGGGTGGATGGATTTCCGCCTCAGAACATGTGGTAAAACTGGTTATGGGTAATTAATAATTAGGACTTGAATGCTTTAGCAAGTATATTTGTGGCTTAAATTGTACGTAAAAGTGAAAACCAAAGTGAAAGGGACTACTCATATGATCAATTAAGAAGGCGAAAGTGAACTCACATTTAGAAGCAGCCAACCAATATTCCTTCCTTGGACAAAGCTAATGCCAATAAGAGAGACCTATTGCAAGTCCAGCACCCATTGAGGGCTAAAGTCCAGTGCTTGATTTGAATCATCAATGCCAACTGGTGTTGCCCTTGTTCGTGTGGATGCATCCCCACTTCGAACCAAAGGACAAAAACACTTGCCTAAAAGAGTACTAAATCATCATAGCATAAATTGCATTCTATCATATCTAACTTCTTCCTAACATTGATTTTACATATCTCTTTTTTACTCCCCTAACCTCAATCTCACAAGCAAAGATATTGATTTGATCCAATCACTTATGCCCATACCCTACAATGTAATCCATTTCATAGGCACGGCTTGTAGACCAAATACATTGACCCTAGCCAGTTGTATTATTAGTTTGAAAAATTGTATCTATACAAAAGTTGTGTTAAAAAATTACACAATAATAAAAAAAATGAGTGTGGAATAAGATGGTTAGTGCAATATAGAGAGACAAAAAAAAATAGCATTATATAAAGAGTTGCATGATTTTATTATATAGATAATATATGAGGATTGCTATCACGAAGCCACATTTGTGTATTTTATTAGGTAAAAGATGAATTAAAAATTTAAAAAAAATAATGGATTTAACGGAAATCAAGCGTGGGTTTAAAATAAAGTTTTCATGATCTCAATTCGTGCAAAAAATTCATATCATAGAGTTTTTCACATAATATTACTCAGTTAATTATGCGATCTTTTGTTGACTTCCTATATATGAGCTTACATATTACATAATGTTTAATACAAATAGAATACGTTTTAAAATCTGCATCTATTTCTTCGACTCCATGTGAAGTGTTTATGCGTCTTCGTAAAGAAACGTATTTAATGCAAATGATACAAGCAACATATACTGTATAAGATTCCATTAAACTGTATTGAACCAGATCCAGAAGGAAGCGATCGCTCTCATGACCAGAACGAGGAGAGCTGTAAAGTGTAAGGCACATAAAAATTGGAAAATTTATTAATTTGTGTCAACCCCCAAACAGAAGGAGGATATAATATTCTCATCATAAATTTCAATGTTATAACATTTACATTCACTTTACATTCTCACGCATGTTATTCTTTTTGTTGTATAATATTTTACAATGTGTTCATAACCGATTCTGTCCTGTTCTCTAGACAATTATATTCAGCTTCCATAAATTCGAGGTAAATTGTTTACTAACAAGCCATCAATGGCTCTTCAAAACCCGTCGGTGATAATAAAAACGGGTGTATCAGAAGACAGATAGAGAATCAAACTAATTAATCCACGCTTTCAGATGTACCAGTCGCACATCCCACATATACTTTTAATTATGGCCAACATCTAACTTACATATATAGTTGGCAATGGGGTGGTTGTACTTGATGCTATGTACAACATCCAAGGGACCAGCGTTGTGTATTTAGATTTCTTTTATTCTTATTCTTTTCTTCCATATAGATGATATATCATATCTGTTCTTCCAGTGTAGTATCAACAGTCATTGAAGAAATCATCACCATCATCATAATATTTTCTGACATTTTAAATGGCTTAAGAACAGATTATCACATTATATTAATCCAATAACCACTTGTTTATACATGTCCACCTTAAGCACTGATTATTACAGAGTAAAAACCTTTATCACAAGTAACATCCAGAAAGATAAATATAAGTATATTTTGAAATTCATTATTATCCTAATGATAAAACCCTATTCTCAGTATTTTGGTCCGTCATTTAGTCCCTTACCAACCAATTTTTGCTAATTTAGTCCCTTGTTAATTAAATTGATCTAAAGTTAACCTTTCTATTGTCCAATCCTTCCTGAAGATGATAAAAAACGATGTAATGCTCATTGATGGAAATCTTTCAAACCAAGGAGAACGTTGACATTGCTTGGAAAATGCAGCTTGGTAATTTCCCCTTTTCATTTTCATGAATGCCTCGAATAGAGACGACACCTACACAAGGTCTGCAGGCCACCACTTGTACAAGGAGTCAACAGGGAATTTTTGAAAATGCCTGACCAAGCACCACTAGTTGAAAGTGCTGACACATAAACCCCCACTTGAGGGATGTCCTGTGCTAGAAAACCTTAACAACCATGATGATGTTAATTACATAAACACCACTTAGGGAATTCATCCATGATACCCCAGCCATTGCACTAAGATATCACTGTACCCATGTGTTTCACCCTGCCTTTCTAACCGTTAAAGTGTGGTTCTCAGGTATAATATTCATTTTGCAAGCAATGGAATCTGTGCAGGTGATCAATTTAGATAGAGTGACTACAATGGCGACCACAGAGATTGAATTGGTGATGCTGAAGGAGAAAGAGTGTATTAACAGGGTGTCAAAAATAGAGTTGAACATTGATTGAGATATGTAAAAAAGAAAAGAAAAGAAAAGAAATACTGACTGCAAAGCCACAGAGGATTCTAACACTGACATGTCGGCATCCATCTCCTTCATTAAAAGGGATTATGATTTGTCCATTACAGAGATAGTCAGGTAGATAGGAGGCAACAAACATTCACGCTCCACACACAATACAAAGGAGAATGAGAGAACAACAAGACGGCATATGATCAGCAGAATACTTAATCAAGCAAACTACAAGTGAATTGACCATCTGAGAGAGACAGCTTCTCTGCTTTCGTTACTGCATCAAGAGGGAGAGGTATAAAGCTCCGGGACGGCCCATAGAAATGAGGGAAACTATTTGAACCAGCCACAATTTCATACACCAAACCATCGCCAAGCTGAGGGGAAATTACAGCAAACGAGAAAATATCACTATTAGCAAGACAAGTGGCCTCATAATAAGAAGCTTTGCTTATTTTAGCTCTCAATAAGTAATATCCTAAACATACTAGTGCAAACTAAATCAGCGCTAAACACGCAAGAGTAAAATTTGTGTCCACATTTCACCCTCTTTATCTAGAATTAATTGGTTGCTTGGAAGCTCCAAGTTCCAATGGCTTGTTCGGCGGTTATAAATGCTAATATAACTTTGAAAGCATTAATTCAGTTGCATATTTGATTCTATTTCATTGAATTAATGAAAGTAATTTCAGGTCAGACATTTTAGGTTCATCCACCAAAAGCCTTAATTTTCCAAGAGTAATGGCTAAGACCATTATACTGCTGTGGAATTTCTAAATTTTTTTTCACTCAGTTATCTCTTCCGATTAAGAATCATGATTTATGCCTCATCTTCATCACTACCATGTATGAGGTACAGAAGCATGGTTTTTAAAATCTCAACCACGAGAAAAAAGATCTAAGCAGGAAAAATCATAGAGAAACATTTGAAAACCTTTTTAGCATCAATCTGAAGCAAGTAGAGTTCCTCCTTGCAGTTCAAGTAAAAGTTCTCCAGCGTTGACCGAACCTTCAACATCATAACTCGTAAATCAGCAACAGCATTCAAAACCACGATCGTAGAATTCAGAATCTCGAAGTAGAACACGAATTTCATAAATCACCAAATCAGCAAACAACTGAACCGCAAAAATTACAAAAGCATGAAATAAAAACCTGGTCGAGCTTGCTGAGATGGATGAAAGCAGAAGACTTATCAAGATCCCCACCGAAAGTGGATCCATTGCTCTGCAACTCTTTCCACTCCTTCTCTGTACTGATTCTGTATACAAAATCACTCATCTTCAACGACACTCACATCACAATCAACCGCTGCGATTTTCCGTTTTCCAAATTCGTAACCGTCAATGTCATTTCATAGCGCAAATGGGCCCAGCCCGTTGAAGAACAAAATGAATTGGGTTGGGCCTATATGTATAATAGCCCAATCCAAGTCATGACAAATAAATACACTGATATTTGTTCTTTGGGTTGAAACTTGAAAACCAGCTTAATTAGTTAGCTGTGAGTTGAGTGTGTGTGTGGGTGCTACTGAGTCGAAGTGATGGCTACGATCGCGAAAGCGCGCGTGTTTGGGGTAGTGAATTTTCAACTGAAAGAAACTGAGATGCCTTTTGCTTGTTCCAGCTTAATCCGCAAGCCTAGTGGAGTTTGTCCTCAGCGCAATGTGGCTCTAAGATGCAGAGGAAATGGCGCGATTATTCCCAAAATCAGATCCCAGAATCTTACTGGTACCAAACCCTACTCTATTTCTATGTCCACAGATCATGTTAATAAATGTGTTGTTTGGTGATTGTTCTTTCCCAGAATCTGCTCCAGATTCCAAGTTTTACAAAGTGGAAGCGATTCTCAGGTTACAACTTAAAACCTTTATATTCTGTGGCTCGCGGAGTCATAGGTTGAAACGAGCTTTTCTAGATACCTATTTATATTTTCACCGCTTTTATGCTGTTGAATTTCTTGTGGAACAGGCCCTGGCGTGTCCCTCAGGCTTCTTCGGTATGACATTTGTTTTATCAGTATTATATACATATATGTGCGTATAAAATGCAAGGTGAATCTTGTTATTTCCGCTGTGTTAAATGCATTTTCTAGCAGTTGGTAATTTTTGCAAGTTTAAAAATGCTTGTTAGTTGTTGTTATTACTAATAATTTTGTGGCAAAAGAAGTGAAAACTAATATGTGTGTGTGTTTGTGTGTGGCTTTTCGTTAGTTGGTAACTTGCTTCTGACATAATTAACGGTTATAGAAGAAAGTGAAAAGCAACTTACCTTCACCTTTCTTGAATAATTGATTTGGCCAATATTGTTTATATACATTTCATTTGGGTGGGCCTTGTGCTTATTCGATTTATTAAGTTTATTGGCATATGCTGGTATTGAATTTTAGTTTTCTTGATTTGAAGGCTTTGCTGAAAATGGGAATTCGTGGTGTCACTGTATCTGATGTCAGGGGCTTTGGTGCTCAGGGTGGTTCAAAAGAAAGGCAGGGAGGTAACTCATAGCTGATTGCAAGTAGTTAAAAACTGAAGATATGTCCTACCATAAATAAGGCTTCTAAAGTGAGTTTGTCTTTAAAATGAGCATGTGCAAGGGTATCTATCCTTAATTTAATTTAAACTGTATTGCATCTTAACCCACGAAAATCCATGGGTGAAACTTAGTTACTTCTGAAACAAACTCACTGTAGAAATTTTTTTCTGTTGTCCTACATGTCGGCATTCCATTTTCATTCCCAAACTATTCATTGGTAATAAGTTTAGGTGAATTTTTGTCTTCAAAAAAGGCCTAACTTTTTTCTTCGTTAACTAAAATGTGCACACACACGTTTTGGCCTGGGTGGCCCACCAACTTTAGCTGTGTTAAAACATTTCTTAATAAGTTAAAGTTAGTATCGTCTGTTGATCATATGTAGTTCTAGAAATGCATTTTTTTCCTTTAGGTTTGAGTTCTATACATATAGTTATATGCATATAGGTTACACATTCTCACTTACACCATTGTCTTTTACTAATAGTGTATTCTTCACAGGCTCTGAGTTTTCTGAAGACAATTTTGTTGCCAAAGTTAAAATGGAAATAGTAGTGAGAGGGGACCAGGTATGTAGACTTTTAGATGTAATTTTACTGGCTTCGTGCACTATAATTGACTCACTGTACTTCTATTATTAATGCAATAATGTAAGATGGAGAGAGAGACTTCTCAGTTCCTGTCAGTATGCCCTTATTCTCTATACCAATCTCTGCAAAAATCAACAAATTATTATTAATTTTAAAATGCTTTATATTACTAGTAATGAATATGATTTTGTCCATAACCATTGGATCTGATACTCCAAAGTTTTTATGGGTTCTAAAACTATTGTCTATGGATTTGAATCTTCTCAACAGTCATGACCATTGACCAGACACCTACTGGGGAGAGAAAAACACAAACTTTTGTTTGATAATGCCATTACGATTGGGTCTGTTTGTTCCAACTACTTTTAATTCTTTCAGTAGTTACAGGACTGGTCATTGTTTAAAGTTTTTGAATTTTATAAAAATTAAAGAAAACACAGAATATTTTTACAATTAGCACTTTCAGTGTTACTTGAATTTTTTGTGACATAAATAATTTTTAGATATTCATGGAATGAAATTTCACCATACTCACGGACCAACAGAAATGCTCATTGATGCAGCATATCTGATATTATCAATCGTGTCTACAGGTTGAGGCAGTAGTAGACACAATTATTGAGGAGGCAAGAACTGGGGAGATTGGTGATGGAAAAATTTTCTGTAAGCCCTAACTGTACTTTTTTGGCAGTGAATTATACATTGTGGTCCATATGAAGCTTCTTTTCATCTTGTATGTGCTCACATCATTATGTTATGTGCTGTTCTAGTGATATTGATGTGTCCATTTAGTTCAGTTAAGGCTTATTCTCTCGTACAACTATCACTCTTCTTGGTGTCCTGGGTGAAGAGGTTGTAAATGTAGAAGCTCAACAGCTATCCATGTCAATAATGATTTGTAATTTCTTCTTGCAACTTGGCAGGAATAAATTGGATTTTTTTAACATAAAGAATTATTTTTTTTAACAATTTATGCAGTCTTAGATAACCCAAAAGATATGAATTCTGTTTCAAGGTGAACAATATTCATCTTTCTTTTTCTGGTTATTGTGAATATCCTTCTCATGCTTGAAAAACATAACCGGATGTGTATTTCACTTTGGAAAGTCAACTATGCAGGAAATGCTTGTTTCTTCAAATGATGAACTTCCTGATTACATAGGACATTGATGTTATTATACTCTTGGCTTTCACGTGTACTCCTCCTGTACACTACTCTACAGAATCTTTATTAGATTGTTCAAAATATAAGCTTCTGAATCTTTTTGCTCATTTCCTGTATCATGTCTACCTTGCCAAATTTCTCATAACGGAAGATTTTCAGGAGGGAATATGAATTAGACTGTAATTTCTAGATTCAACAAGTGATTGTAAATGCCCTCAATGGGGAATCATATTTCTAATAAAATTTTGGTTGTGCAGTGATCCCCGTCTCAGATGTTATTAGAGTTCGCACAGGTAACCATTTTCTTCCAGGATTTTTTAAAAACAATAAAAATTATTATTTTGTGTAGTCAACATATGGACTCAACTTTTGATTATGAAATTTTCAGGTGAACGTGGGGAACTGGCAGAGAGGATGACTGGGGGGCGAACTGACATATTATCTACTGTATGAATGGTTGACGCGAGAAATCAGCATTTGTCATCTGGTTCTCTTACCCATTCTCCTTTTCCCTTGTGGAATATGGAGTGCATTACAATGCTTGTACGCTTTATATGTTCTGCACTTTACTAATAGAAGATGTATGACACTGTTGATACGCAGTGTAGTTGTTAGGCAGTGAAAAGAAAATGTGAAACAATGATTGACAATTGCTTTTGCTTTGTAGTTAATATGAACTTGTTAATATTTCGTTCTGAAATCAATTTGGTGTGTATTTGTACAGCAATTTCTTTAAGGAAAAGCTGATAAGAAAAAAATATATTTTCTTCAAAATGAGTTAAATAAAACGCACATCAGATCAGGCAATTTTACAATTTTGCCATACACATTCTTGTTATCAAAGGAACAGTAGTTTTAGCAGAAGTGTACGAGTTTAATGTTTTTTTTTTCTTATCTATTTTACATAATATTGTACGTGTATGTATATTTAAATTATAATTTTAACCGACGATTTTTAATTAATAATTATAATTTCTCAATTTCTTAACCTTCTTTTTTTTTATTTTAATCAATTACTATCAAGAGTATAATTTTATGCCAGGGCATGTGTTGCTATTTTATGTTTTCTTGTATATACTATTTCTATGTCATCTAACTCATTTTTGTATCTAAATTTTACTTTCTAACTCTTCTAACTTATAATAAAATTTTGACAAATTTATATTTATACTTATAAACAACATGAGAAACCTATAACACACTGAAAAGATATTTTTAAATACACGTATGACGACATGCTTATCGTAAAAAAGACGTTATTCTACTGCTCACGTATAGATGTTGATGTTAAATTTGACAACAAACAATAATACATACTTTTCATCGTAATATAAGAAAATGATGCATTCAGATTTATATTATATTTTTTTGTAGAATGGTGAAAAGAAATTTCAATTTATAATCTCATTAATATTCAAGTCTCTCAGTACTTACTACTAACCTAATTATAGTGGGTTAAACAAAATTTTATATATAAAAAATGAAAGTGTAACTAAACTAAAAAAAAAATCTGATACAAAACGAAGGGTGTACACGTAGTATAATTTTGTTGTATAAAATCTGTGAAACGGTCGTTCCCGTTGCTTTCTGCAAACACCAAAATCGAAGAAGGAGAAGAGAATCCAGATCTCGTCTCCATTTCGCCCACACTAATTCCTCTCTTTCTCATTTCTCAAAGGCAAGTTCCTCCCCCTTTTTGAATTTTGCAATGCTTTTCTTTTCGATCTCTCTTCCCTTTTGTTTCCTCATCCCGATCTGACTTGCAATTTACGATTTGGTTTCACCTTCGTTCGATCTGCTTCGCTTGTCTTTAGATCACGATTTCAATCTTCATTCTCATTTATTTCCCCTTTCGAATTTGAATTTTTAGCGTTGAAATTAGGGGTAAGATGTGGCGATGATGAATGTCTGTGTTGTGAATTGTTTCAGAGTAGTTGAAAATGGGTCTGTCTTTCACGAAGCTGTTCAGCCGGTTGTTTGCTAAAAAAGAGATGCGCATACTTATGGTGGGACTCGATGCTGCCGGTAAAACCACCATTCTCTACAAGCTCAAGCTTGGAGAGATCGTAACCACCATTCCCACCATAGGTAAGCTTCATTCCTTTTATTTATTCTTCTACTCTTACGATCTCTCAAATGGAATGAATAACAACCGATCCTCAGCAATATCTGTTATATAAAATAAGAATAAAATAATGCAATATTTGTTGTTAATATATATAACGTTTGGTATAGGGTTTAATGTGGAAACCGTGGAATATAAGAACATCAGCTTCACTGTCTGGGATGTTGGGGGCCAAGACAAGGTATTTCTTTTTCTCTGTTACGTTCGTTACCTTTGGGCTTTGTCTATCTACTGACATCGGAAAGGAATTCTTATTAACTGTCCAGAATGCTTTGTTGATTCAATAACATGATCATTGGCTGAAATTGTGTAAGCTGCTCTGCACATATTACGGGTTCGATTCCAAATTTGACTGTTAAAGAGAAAACTCTAGCTCAGACACTAGTACTTTTGGGTAATGAATAATAATTTGATGCAACCACACAGATATGATTCCAAATGCATATTTTTGCCTTGGGGGTACATGAGATTAATTTTGCTGTGATGTTTTTTCAAATAGTGTTGGTTATATATTCTCTTTTTACAATTAGTAATTTCATACAGAGAGTTTAATCTTGATCCGGCTTGTTAATTTGTGAAAGACTTAGTAAAGCACATGATAGTTAAATCCTAAAGGACCTAAACTAAATTGCCTTGGCATTTTCTACTGGATTAAGATCTGGCTGCAGTGGCGAATATTAACCTGTTACCAAAATGGATTAAGTTCTATGTGTGGCTTAAATCGTCTGACGGTTGGCCTTTTGCTATATATTTTTGTCTCTAAATATTTAGAAATAGATTGTTTCTACCAGTAGTGAACCTTGATATGTTTTTTCTTCTAGATCCGTCCTTTGTGGAGACATTACTTCCAAAATACACAAGGACTGATTTTTGTGGTTGATAGCAATGACCGAGATCGTGTTGTGGAAGCAAGAGATGAGCTGCACAGGATGTTGAATGAGGTAGTAAAATAGATCCCCAATGAATGAATATGATAAATTGTCTTATTTTCCTAGCTTAATTTTGTGTGACTATAATCTTGTTAGGATGAGTTGAGAGATGCTGTGCTTCTAGTTTTTGCAAACAAGCAAGATCTTCCAAATGCTATGAATGCTGCTGAAATAACTGATAAGCTTGGTCTTCATTCTCTTCGTCAGCGTCACTGGTAATCTAAAATATTGCTGTCAGCAATTTGCTCTTCTCCTTAATCACCCGTCTCCTTGCCCCTTCCCCTAATCATTGTTGTCAACAATCAACGTGTTATCTACTACGTGCAGGTATATCCAGAGCACATGTGCCACATCTGGTGAAGGACTTTATGAAGGACTTGACTGGCTGTCGAACAACATTGCAAACAAGGTTAATACAGAACAATTATTTCCAAGGACTCAGCCATTTATTTTTGCACATTGACAGATTTCATATAAAGGCCTTCATAAATTTTTCTTTTTTATGATTTGTGATTGCAGGCATAGTCATTGTTAGTGGGTTGCATGAAGTTCAGTTGAGTTTAGCGAGTGTGACTTCCGATGTTTGATGTGGTTACTCTGTTTAGAATTTTATCTGCTCTAGCATGTATTATTTGTCTTGGAAAAAGAACAGATGTCTACTACCTAATTTCAAAATAATTTGCATTTTTTTTTTTTCGTGTATAATCAAAAAAGCGTTGTTTTACCATTGATTTGTGAAGTCAATTTAATCATTGAGAAAGAAAGCCTTTACATTTATACCTAATATATGTACTACAAAATTGTCTACATTGTAGCCAGGGCAGCATGGCACGTTTGAAAATCACAAACATCTGTTATTGCTTCAACTTCCAAGCATTGCAACTGATACACAGTTGCTGCGATGCAGCCTTTAGTCTGAACTGCAGCCATTTCTTTTCGGACGGAAATGTAGGCTAATGTTTTAAGAGTAATGACATTCATAACGACCAAACATTATATCGAATCATAGGCTAATAATGCTCTGAATTTAGGTGCTTTTAAATGCTCTTTCTGGAGCAATTCTTGCTTGGCCAATCAAAAGTTCAAAGACATTCATAACGACCAAACATTATATCGAATCATAGGCTAATAATGCTCTGAATTTAGGTGCTTTTAAATGCTCTTTCTGGAGCAATTCTTGCTTGGCCAATCAAAAGTTCAAAATAAGTAAGGGCAGGATTTCTTCTCATGCTTATTTTGTTTGCTGATCTCTTTTCATGCTCTTACATTATCTTCCAAGGATTTTATCAGCTAATCTGAGCGACAATTCACAAGTATATGAAACAAGTTAGACTTTTAAAATTCTGAATTTTATAGTTGACATTCAGAAATTGTCAAATATTTTAGGATTTATATAAATTTTAAATAGACTATTTATATTTCTATTTTTACCTCTGATTCCTAATAACCTGTCATGCTACATGATTGGAGAGATAAATAATATGGGCAAACGTGTAAAGTAAAAAAAAAATCAAATCCAGCTGATTTCATTTGTAATGAGTTTCAAAGACAATTTGTTGAAGTTTCAATTTCTTAAACGTTCTGAGTATGATGTTTAATTTCAAAATCAAATCAATATTTTATATGTATTTTTAATAAACAATGCTGCTCAAGCCCAAAAGTTAAATGTTATTCAACACGATGGCTTCATTTTATTTTCCGCACAAGTCCAATTCAAGAGAAAGTAACGTGTAAACATAAAATCCTCATGACCTAAAACAAATTAGGTAAAGCGTGTGTTTGTATGTGAGTTGAAAAATAAGATATGCACTATGAGATGTATCAAATATTCATAATAGCTTTAGAAGTAACGCATGTCCACCTGTGTATATAACTTCTTCACCTCATTAATTAGGCGTACAAATGAGTTTTATTAAAAATGTGTACTTTTAATTGTCTGTATATTTGTCAAACAACCCAGGATCACTTTCTAAAATTAATAAATAAAACGTTCCCCATCTGAAAAAAAAATTAAACAAAATAAAGACGATTGAAAACTTAATTAGTGCATGCTTGGTAAAGTCTAAATTTAGAAAAATAACTTTTTTTTTATTGTTAATAAACTACCCAAAAATAAGTGATTCTTTCTTCAAGATAAATTAAAAAATAATTTTAAATCTTTTTAACTTTTATACCTACGAATCTTTCTAATACTTAAATAAAAAAAAACTTAAATATTTTTATGTTTTAGAATAATTAAATATATTTAAATTTTTGTTTAATATTTTATTAAATAGTAAGATAATTATTAAAAAAATTATAGGAGAATATAACAAAACTTTAAACTAAAACTATACACGCACCTAATTGTGAGAGCATTTATAGATCTAATCGAGAGAAATATTCTGATACCAAGAATCGCATTAAATCGTTTCTGGTGTGTCTTATGTGACCTAACATTTTTGTTTTGAACACGTGTGGGATTTGTTTCTGTACATTTTTTTAGCTTTTAAATTGGCAGCTGTGCAGGGATTAAAATTTCCCTTAAACCTATAAATAATTTTAGAAAAATGATACACTCTAATATATTCTTTTTTTAACACACTTTTAGTTATTGATTAAAATTTATTAAAATCACAAAAATTATTTTCTTTTCACTTCTATTTTAATATTTCACTGTCATACTTTTATAATTTTAAATAAATTTGAACCAATAACTAAAAAAAATGCGTTGATAAATTTATTACAGTCAATTTGTTTATAGGGTTTCTAGTAATTGATAAGTAAATGTGTGCTATATTATATCTAGTTCTCGTACATGGGGGATCGCATAATTCACAAAACCTTCCCTCCTCATCTCCATATAATATAGACTTCACTTTTTTGTGTTCGGTAACTTTGGTTAAGCAAAAACTCTTTGTCCCAAATTTCGTAAATTAATGATTATTATATTTTTAATCTTCTCCGATCATATCTTTTATTTATTTCTATTTCAAGTGATTCATTAGAATTCCTATTTCCATATTTGTTTTTAATTTATGCCATTTTACTCTAATACACTAGTTAACAATGAAAAACAGTGCATAATTATTTCTATTAATTAGTAAGTTACACATTTGGAATAAAATCTCTTTTTTAATTATTCTAAACAGTTTCATTTCTTCAGATAAACAATCATTTGATGTAACGTTAAACGGTTTTGATATTCATTCACTAAAGTGGAGCTAATTAAGTTTCCTGTTTAATCACTAGAAGTTTAATAAATCAATTTCTACAACTCAATATTTGATCATTATGTTATGCTTGATCAGAGGTTCTTTTTTTTTTTTCTAGTATCAGAGACTTTTTGTTGTATCTGTTATTTCAACTAAGATATTTTATCTATTACTAGTGGGAATATTTTATCACAGGTGAAAATAAATGTTATTGTCCAAAATGACTAGCAAATTATTTCTGATATTTCCCATAATCGTTTAGTTCTAGGGTAAGTCAATTTTCTTAAATATTGGACTATAATTATTACTTACTGCGTGATGCATAGAATGCAAATTTGATTACATCTAGACAAGTGGAGAAGCCTCAAGCCTATAAATAGCATATTCTGTCAAATCATTTTATCCCAACATTACATAGACTTTGTCTGGTTTGTTATCTCAATCTTTTCAAGTACTCACCAACTTTGCCTCCATGGAAACTAACAATCGACATATGGTACACAAACAATACTCCTCTTCTTCTTTTTCCCTTCAACTTTCTGTCTAATTAATAAGAACAATACACATCTCTCTCATTCACTTTTTGGTTAATTGGTACATGTATGTACTGAATATTCACATAGAACTGCATATTGAAAGTGGATACGCAGTCTTCTGGGTGGGAGAAGTCTCTGACAAAAGTGATTAAGCGAGTCAATGGTTACAATCTAGTTTATACTTACTCCTCAATGAATTTCCATTTTTTATGATTGATCTTTACTTACATAATTTTCGTTATCATTATGTTTTTGGAATTGGATTTGTAGATGTATCTTATAGAATTGATGCAACACATGGGGTTATTTGGATTTCTGGAGAAATTAATCCAAACAAATTGCTGACTGACATAAAAAAAGCTGGGAAACATGCAGTACTCGTTCATGCTGAATGTGGTGGACACTCTTGTTGCAACAACTATGGATATAGGTATGATTATGATAGTGGATACGGAAAAGTAGTGGAGCCTCACACATACCCCTACTATGAAGCCAATAAACAAGGACTCGGTTACTTGCAATCTGATCCTCATCAGTTCAGTAGTCTTCCAGCACTAGAAGCAGAAAGGAGGCATGTTCCACTACTTCAATCGCCAAGTGCACCTCCACTACTACACTATGATTCTTACAATCCTTCTTGCAACATTATGTGACTAGTCTGGTTTTAACTGAATATTGATCTACTCTTTTTCTTCTTTTTTTTCATTCACGAAGAAAGTTCCTCCTTTGAAGTGTTGGGATTTCTATTTTGTTTTGTTTTAACTTCCTCTTATTTAGAAAATACAGTGAATGTTTGATCATTTGAGTTTTATCTTTCTAAATAAGCTAAACGTACTTAATTAGTTCATTTTTAAATATATTTTAGGAGGATTTTAGAACTTGAACACTGGATTTCCAATTTATTCTATGATTTTTCTCAGAGGCTTTAACATTTTTTTTGGTCTCAACAGTGATATAACATTTATTTTTCCCATGATAATTTTTCATTTTTTGTAACAATAAATCAAAACTTGACTAGTTGATTTTTTAGTTTTTTACGTGTTATATATATATATATATATATATATAACTTGCAGCATTGTTAAAGTAATCAAATGTTTTAGCATTATTTTGGATATGCAATTTAATTCTTTTGAGGATGTGTAGAATACAAATATTTTAATTTATGAGGACAATGATAAGGAAGAGAGTATTAAAGGTCTTGGATGGTAGAAGCAAAAGATTTATATTGCTTGAAGTTGCTATCATACACAGGCAGTATATCTTAAGCCTCTATAAGCTTTGTCCTGACTTTTTAGAAAGTTCATGTACAACTAAGCTTTCAAATTCTAAGAAATAATTTTCTACAACTATTATTTGTTTTTTTCTCACAAGTTTGCAAGATTTTTCTACATCTACACGGATGTTATAGACATTACATACATCAAGAGAGTTCTAAGAACTTTCTAGAATAATTTCCAATAGGATGATAAGGGATTTAGTAAGAAAGTAAAAAACAAAAAGCACTAAATATAATAACACCATGTTAATTATCGAAATGTTATTTAATATTTTTTAATAACTGAAAATATATTGAATATTTTTAACTAATGTATTTAAATATTCATTAATTAGAAAGAACTTTCTTGCCCGCACACACTGTCTATAAATACATACATTCAATCAAGATATATTACAACGATAATTAAAAAACAACCAAGTCTAATCGCTAAAAACCAAAGTCATATTAGTAGTCATGAACCTTAAGTTTGTCTGCTGATATACTTTTTCTTTGATAAATAATTAATTAATGTACATATTAAAAGTCTATACTAATAATGATACATTGCAATAATAGATTATTTTATTGGTATAAAGAAATTAATATATACTATTGACATTTCGTACTATTAATATAATATATAATATTTTATACTAATATTAATAGTGCATATCTAACAATCTGTCTATACGTGCTAATAATTTGATTTTTATTAGACAAAAATTATATTAATGAAAGTAATTCAATTCATAATTTTTTTTCATAATATATTTTGTGTTCTTCTTGTTGTTATTATTCAAGTATTATATTAAGTTTTATTGGTTGGTGCAAGTAAAAATTGTGCTGATATAAAAAGTAGATTTGGAATCCTGCAACAGTTATGCTATAATAATTAGAATAATTTATTGTGCAACTTTTAATAGGAATTGCATATTGTTTGAATAGACACGAAAAGTAATAACTAAATTTTATTTATTAAGTGAGGTCGATTAAAATATAACATCACTAAACTCGTTAAAGAAAATTAAATTCTTTGATATATTATTTAGTTTTAGATTTTTTAAATATTTTTTAAAAAAATTCTTTGATGTTTTTCTTTACTTGTTTTTATCCTATCAAAGTTATATCATTGAGTCTTATCGTGACTTTTAATTGACATGAACATCTCAGAAAATAAAAATAAATGATCATAACTGGCATTATGAAAATGATATATTTCAACTATTAAAAAGAGGATGAAAGTGAGATTTGGAGATACTCGTATCTGACTATCTGTGAGTGTTTGAAAGGAAACCCATACAACGATAAAGATATTTCATCATAAACAAAATTTGTAGCAGTAAACGATTAAGATTTTGAAAACTGACAACTGCCAATGCTTGTTTAACGAATGGAATTAGAATTAAAATATGTCGTTTGAAAGTTTTTCAGAATTAAAATTATAAATTCAAAAGTTAATTTTTAAAAAAATTAATATAACTGCCAATAATATTTTTTATTTCACGATCTCTATCCTAAATTATTACTTTCATCCCATTCTTACGTTATTGTGTATCACTCCTTTTAACTATTAAAATCTCTATCACTAATTAACATCACAATCTATTATTAGCATTTCTTCCATCTCATTATTAACTTATTAACGATGTTATTATTATTATTATTAGTTTTCATCATCTTGTTATTCTTACTATCATTGTTATCATTTTATTATTTTATTATTATAGTCGTTTCAACTTCTAACGTTAATATTATTGATTATCATTATTTTCATCTCGATTATTATTGCAATAATCTAATTATTGTTGTCACATATAAATTAATTTTTTAATATATTTAAAAATATATAATAAAAATGTTTATATAATATTTTTTTATGAAAATTAGAAGATATTAAAATTTTTAATACATTCAATAGTATTATACTTTTAAAAAAAATAATTATTCATCAAATTTTTATTATTGACTCTCAAATACATGTAAAGAAAAATTATTCAAAGTGAACATAATCTAACCTAGCTATGACTACTATAACTAACTACGAAAAGTATCAAAACAAAATTCAAATTATTAGATTATTAATAATATTGCCATATTGTACACACTTTAATAATCGATGAACATGTAAAATTGATCACCACATATCATTGTTCAGAGATCCACCAACATGAAAATAACATGAAAACTTATTTGAATGCCTGATGTTTGGAATAATCGTGCCTAAAAAATAAATTTCACCACGTTTTAATGTGTTGGAAAGGGAACTATGACGACACACACATTTCATCCTGAACAAAAATCTCTAGTGTAACAACTTATCAACGCCTAACTGGAAGAGTAACTAATCAGCTTAAAAGACCATGAGACACCCGATGACAGAGAAGATGAGCACATTTTGTTACTATTTAGCTGCTTCAATTAAGCCTTTGCTTGAGTATGGAGGATAGTTGAACAGTGATGTCACTCGTTCAATTGATTTCACCTTTAAGGAGAACCAACTAATACCAAATTCCATTACACAGATCGCATATCAACTCACAAAGACATTGCTTCGTCAAGCAATCTATATTCCATCACTCCAAACTGAGTGGTCAATATCAAAAACCACCCACAATTTTACAAGAAACAGACAAGAGACCCTTTACACCATAAAATGGACAAATCATTTCGTTCATCATTAATTTCCCTTTATCATTAAGCATTGCCACAAAAGCATTACACAATAGTAAAGTCCAAAAGCGACGACAGAATATATTTATATATACGTGATTACAAAGACCAGATCCAGACTCTATAGAACAGACCCACCAACCTTAACAAACGCTAATTTAAAAAATAAAAATTAGAAAAATACAAAAAATTAAAAATAAAACCGAGCTCCTTTCTATGTATGCGAGCGACCATGAGCCACGATTCCTCCCCATAGAGAAAATATATAAAAACAAAAACAAAAAAAGTAACCTCCCTTGTTTTGAGCGCAAAGTCTTGCGTTGCACCGACTCCTCCACCCTGGTCACTTTTTTTTTCCACAACATTTTCTTTTATTTTATATATTTGGTTGCATTCATTACGTGAAAGTGAGGAACAGATGCAGCTCCACCTAAGCTGCTGAGGGTGCTGTGACATATTGAACCTGACCAACCTCTGATAGAGCCTGGACGAATGGCTCAATGTCAACACCATCAGCGACACCTTCAGTTCCACTCAATGGCTTGTAGTCAAACGAAGGATCCTCGTAGATATCCCACCATTTCTTCACCAGCATCTTTATGTCCTCCCTCTGCATATTCTCTTCCTTCCCCGTATATCTCCACGGCTTCGACCCCGCGGCGCAATAGTGAACAACCTTAACTTCATCGAGCTTCACATTCTCGGGGTGACGCCACAACATGGCAAGTACGAGGTTGTAGTTCAAAGGGATTGGCTTGTAAATGTCCTTAAAGTACATGTTCAGGAAGTCTTGTTCCGCAAAAGGAGTAGGAGGAGTAACTTGCAACGTCTTCAATAGGTCGTGGTAGGTGGCGATGTTGGGCTCGAACACGAACATGCCAGCATTGAAGTAAAGAGAAGGGGGTGGGCCCATTTCGGTGGGCCACTGGGCCTTATTTGGACATTGCTGGCAGTACCCGATTTTATACTGTGGGGTGTGACTCCACGTCTTCTCGCAGAAGCAGTCCATCACAGCGTAGAAGTAACCATCGGGCAAATCAAATAGGTGGTCTATGTTTTCAAACACTTGAATGTCTCCATCTAAGTAGATCATCTTGCTGTATTCCACAAACTGCACCCATTCCAAATCCCAATTAACCATTTTTCCAATTGTAATATAAACACCTAAACAAACTAGACGGAGACATTTTAAATTATTATTTGGATGTAAAATAAACATAATTTATTCAAATCTATCCACTAGCACTTTATATATAGAGTCAAACCCCAAATTTCGGAACCTATATGGCTATACATCCCGAAATAGAAATGAAAAAAACCCTTCCTGGCCTTCCATGTACGCAACCAAATATAAGTAGCATGGGTATTTCCGTCAAGGAAAGAATAAAAATGAATCGGACAAATTAAGTAAAAATAATACACACAAAATAAAGAGTGAAAAAATCCGACAGGGTGTAGGAATAGAAGAAAAATTGTATCTCTCGTATTTATAAGTAATATAATATAATTATATTAAAGAAAAAAACATTTTTATTAAATAAAAATTCATCTTAGTTAATTATTATGTTAACAAATTGGGTCTAACTCACTTCTATGAGTTGGAAAAAGGCTGTTATAACCATTATAATGAATGTTAACACACTAATTGCACCTATGTGAACAGTCCAATATTTAAATTGAATGCACTCTAATACCATGTTAAAAAAATTCAACCTAACTCTCCCCCAAAACTCTATTCCTAACCGACGCAAAACATCTTAACATTATACCTCATTAATAAAAAGAATGTATTTATAAAAAATATAATCATATGATATTACTGAAGTCTAAACTTAATAGAAGAAACATGTCATATATATCTTGAGTCCACGCGTAAGAACCCGACCGAGTGAAGAATCTACGTGTAACAAGAATACATAAGAAAGAGAAAGAAAGAAAACAGATGAAGGACGTACCTCCCATATACGGAGCTTGGAATAGTTGATGACGTAATAAGCCATCGCAAACTGGGTCTGGTTTTCGGGTGGATAAACGGGTTCAATCTCACGGACAATGCAGCCCTGAGACTCCAACATCCTACGGTGCTCCTCCGGCACATCGGGGAGCACCGCCACCACCAACGGGTGCGCCGTCTTCACCCGTCGCAACCCTTTGGCGAGTCCAACTACCCCTTTCACGTAGTCACCGTTTCCAGCAAGAAACGTCACGTAGGCACGTCTCGCCAGAGTGGCAGGCTTCGTGAACGCAGCACCAGGTTTCGCAGCGGTAGGAACGAGTTCGGGGGCCATATATGTCTTAGGAAAAAGGTAGTTTGTGATTTGTTAACGTGAAACTCGAAGAAAGTTTAGCTTAACTAGCTTGGATCAAGTGAGAGGAAGAAGAGAATTTTGCAGAGGTTATTTTTATGTTGGTATGTAGAAGTGAAGAAGGCGAAGGTGGATGTGTGTATATATAAAGGAAGAGAGGGTGTGGTGGGGATAGTGTAATTTGACCATTTTGTGGTCATGCAAGTTGGGAGATCTTGGGCTGTATGCTGGCCACGTGTCCTGGTTGAGTGAGCCAACGGTGAGGGATACGTTAGGAAGGTTCTGGAAAGGGTGCCCCTCATGCTTATGGGTGCACCTCGTGGAAGACACTAGAATGGACTGGGGTTGCTAAAGATCCTTGTAGAAATGTAGAATTGTGTGATCTCTCTGCAATTCACCTCAAAGCATGCACAACATAGAAAGGGAATCAATAATAATAATAATAATGAGAATTCATTTCATCATATATTTCTTGGAATATTTCCTACTCCACTATCACGGGAGAAAAAATTCAGAATATTTAATTTATAGAAGGAAAAAAAATCATAAACAGCTTCTTGGTGAATTGAATATAACTAAAAGGATAAGTAATAGAAAAGGTAGAATGGAAAGAGAAAAAAAAATATAAATAATTGTTTTTTTATATTTTATAGAATACTTTTAATATGTTATATGTTATGCTTTCGAATCTAATAGGTTTGGATTGGGTAAACTTTGATAGAAGTTTTTATAAATATAAGAATAGGTTTTTATAAATTAAAAATAATTTATTTTTTAAAATTATAGATAAGTTAAATAAAAATATATTTTAAAAATAGAGAATCATAAATTATATTTTATTTTTAAAATTCTTTTAATTTTTCATTTTATAAATATTTACCTTGACCAAAGTAGCCCTATTTAAGTCATGAACATTGTTCCCTTTGTTTTCTAATATTTTGACATTAAAAGAAAAATTAGGGGCTCTTTTACTCCTAGAGGATTAATGAATATAATGTTATGAAAATCAATAATTCCCAAGTTCCTCGGTCACCCTTTATATATATATATATATATAGATTCCAGTATATATGCTTGTGTTTTATCTTTCTCTGTTTTTTCATTAATTAATAACTTAATATAACATAACTCATTTTGAGGATGACAGTATTTTTTATTATAACGTCTCCATGAAAATTCTTCAAAATATATTAAAATTAAAATGAATTTTAAAAATAAAATGATAAATAAACCACGACACTTTTTAAGAACTAAATAGTTGTGCTACTTTTCATTGGTTCATGAACTAAAATATACTAGCAATGAAAGAAAAACGAATTGGTTCTTTTTTTTTTTGTTACATAATTGGTTCTTGCGTAAGAAAGTATAAAAGTTAAATTTATATTCGGCTGCATGCTTTTTCAGTGACATATTCTGGAATAATTATTTAATGGAGATTTTCCATACTGAAATAGATGTGGGTTACGAAGCCAACAATAATTTCACAAAACACGTGCTTTTGGCTGCAAATCAAATCATGAAAAGGAAAAAATTATTTTCACATATTTTTATGATTAGTCTATTTTGTAAAATATTAAAATACTTATTTAATTTTTTTTTAAAAATAAACTAATCACAAAAAATATGTTAAACGATGTGCTTTATAAAATAAAAATGTCAGGTATTTACACTCTTAAATTATTTGTTTACATGTAAATCTGTTCCTTTAATTTCTTCCAAACTTGACTGTTTTACTTTCATATTAAATTATACTACGGCGGTGTCTTGAGAGAGAATCTTTTACTTTCACAATAAATTAGACTATAGTGTGATTTTCAGTCTGAGAAAAACATTATTATTTTTTTAAATGCGAGATGAATCTACGAAGCAGACGTGGTTGGTGAAGAAGGGAAAACAATCGAGCCAGCTTGGAATGCATGCATGTATGGTTCTAAAAGGATGCATGGACCATGGCATCTAATTCATGGTTCACACGCCACGCACGTGCGTCCAGTCACGGTGACGGAGGGTCAACATCAGAGTTTGCGGGTCAGGTTTCGCCACCTGGACTCTGGAGCCGTCAACTTTTCCGATTATAGTGAACGAAACTTAGCTTTTCCGCTTCAAGAAAATCTCTGTAGTGTATTCCTTGCTCAGGCCTTTCTGAACTTCGAGTTTGTTCTCGGTAGCTTCTATATCATTTCCCATTTAATTTATCTTTTAATAACTATTTAGTGTAAGGATTCAATTTTTAAATAGATTTGGTTACTTGTCCGGGATTTACATATAAGGAGCGTTTGCAACTTATTGTAAGTGGAATGGTAATGATATATTTTTAAGGTTAAAATTTATTAAAAAACATTAAATGGTCAACTAAGTTATTAAAATTAAAAACTTGAAATTTATATATTTTTTAATTAATTTAAACAAAATAGTAATTCAGTTATATGACTAACTTTTTTTATTTTAATTTAAATGTTAATCTCCTTAATTATTATGTAAAATACTCTCTCTCTCTCTCTCTCTCTAATTGTCTAAAATTCTGAAGTAACGAATATCTTACAAGAGAGTACGGAGTATAATAGTTACTTGGATCTAAGAAGACATACAGTGACATCAACATGAATCATTTCATATTTAAAATATTTTAATTTAAAAAACAATTTTTTCATAAAATTATAACAAAATAAATATTTACTTTCTAAGAATTGTGAAATGCAACTAGTATAAAAGTAATTAGAAAGGTGAGGTTTGTAGATTTAACATGGAAGAGAAATTAATACGTGTTTATATTTCTTCTCTCTGTAATAATGATAGACAAGTTTTGTATTTATTTATTAACATTTGTTGTGTCCTGTGCTTTATCCACCATTTTATGTTGTTCCACGACTACTTTAAAATTAAATAAAATAACATTTTATCTTATATTAATCCCTCTATTTTGTTTCAATTCAAACGTCCTTTAAATGTTAGATTATTTTCCTTCCTGTCATACATTTGTAAATCTTTAAATTGTTACATTTAATGCGTTAAAAATATCAAAATTTATACAAAAAAAAAAATAAAGAAGTTTTATAAATAGTTTTTTTAATATCATAAATTAAATTTATCATTCTTAAAGGTCATTTTAATTCGTTTTTTTTTTCTCACACCGATGTGTTTTCTTTTTCTTTGACGCGTGGCTTTAAAGTTTTCATATCAAGTTAGACATTTTTCTCCTTTACTTAATTATTCAGCCTAGAGAAAAAAATTTTAATACTGAGTTTCTTTAATCAATATTCTAATTATTGAATTTAACATCAGACATAATAAGATACTTGTATATCAGTATCAAGGTCGTTTTCATTAATTAAAGAACTTTTAAAATTTTGAAAAAACTTTAAATATATGAATTTTAATATTTTATAATTTTCATATTTATTCTTGTATTCTAAATTGAGCTTTCGTGTACATTTTTTTCTCTCACAAAGCCACATTTTTTTGTGACATATTTTTTAAATTTTTACATCAAAATTAATTTATTATTTTTCCATTTTAATCAATTATCCAAATCTAAGCAGGTGTAGTTTTCTTATTTATTTTGCATAATACTTGATTTTTTAGTCAATATTAATCATAATAAATATGAATTTAATTTGATATACTGTAAGTGTAAATTTTTTTACACTATTAATTAATTAATATATTATGAAAAACAATTTTTATATTAATTATTATATAAATCAATGTTTCTTGTAGATATAACAATTCGTAGTTAAATGATAATGTACTAAATTTTTACGCTATCAATGTAGTTAAATTAAATTCATAAGATATTAGTAAAATATTATTAAAATAAAAAAAAACTATTTATTTTAAGAACAAATCTCGAACACTCATCCTACTCAATACAATTTTACAAATATAATTTTATCGCATCTAGCTATTAAATTATTTAATTTATTGTTTTTAATCATAACATTTTTAAAATTAATTTTTTGAATATATAATTCTATAATAACATTTTTTTTATCAAGATGCTAATTTAATGAGATTCAAAAGAACGAGCATCTATAGTGGAGGTTGGTGAATCCATCCAATGCATAGTGCTAGGTAAGATTCTATCAACACTGGCAAATAGATGTGCAGATAATGAATGTGTATGTTAAAAAAATATATATATAATCGGTAAAGATTGAATTCATTTTATAAAAAATACATTAATTTAATTTCTATTATTAATGCAATTACTTTATTAATACACAATCTGTAAGTACTTTTTAAAACATATTTTTAGTCTGGAAGTATATTTTAGCCTCAGTGAGCTCATCTTGTGTGAATAGAAAACTTATATCAGACGTGTAAAAAGAAAAAACACTGAAACTAATTAAAGTTTTAAAATATTTTTAAGTCATTGCGATGGCAAATTTAGGAGTTAGATAATAAAAATTTGATTTATAATAAAAATACACTAATAATTAAAAAATTAGAAATAACTTAAAAAATATATAAAAGACTATGTTTTAAAGGAAAATGATACACTATTTATATTATTATTATTGTTAGCGAGTGACGAACTTACGTAAGCTAACCTACATCGGACCTATTTTTCATGCAAGTTTAATCAGATTGGTTTAAAACAATATAGTTTTTTTATTTTATTAACAATCTTAGTCAACTGAGTCGACGTTTATTAGTTGATGTAAAAAAAGTTTCTACTCTACATTTGTAGTTGTATAATTCTCTTTTTCTTTAGATTTCCTTTTGATAAAAAATAAACAACTAAAATGTCAGTGTGATTCCCTTAGAACACAAGAATAAAAATAGAAATATCAAAAGCTTCGTAGCATTAAAGAATACCCCATCATTGAATGCAGTGCTTTTATCACAAGATGCGCACATTTAATACAAAGTTTGACTCCCCCGCATTGAGCTAACATTAGACCCTCGTAGATAGTTTATAGTCAATATCCACTTTAAAAGACAATGTTTGTTAATATATAACTTTTACCCATTAAAATAATACTTTATGTTGCTGTTAGAGAAATACTACTCTTTAAGTCTCTGCTCTAAAAATGTGATGTCCTTCTGACTGTTGCTGACGTGGGGAAGATACTTACAAAAGGTATTTCGATGTTGAAGTTAAGAT